GCAATCCCCACCATCCCCCGTCCAACCCTCGTAACAACCCCCCTCGACCTCCTCCCCTCCCCCTCCTTCACCTCCCTCTTCCTCGCACTGCCCGCCGGCTGCTCACTCACCACCACCAGATCCCCACTGCGGATGCCATGCGCGGGTAACGAGAACGCACCATCAGCACCCGCCAGCGCCGTCGCCGAATCCGGAACCAGCTCGATGACCGTCTTCCCTCCGAGACCGGTGCGTTGCGAGTTGAGGGTGAGGTTGGTGATGGCGAGGCCGGCGCGTTGGAGCGAGGTGGGGGTGTTGTTGGTGAGGAGGGTGGAGGTTTCTGTGAGCTCGGTTTGGAGCTCGGTTGAGAGGAGGGAGAGCTGGGTGGTTGCGAAGGAGGAGATGGGTATTGCGTCTTTGGGTGACATGGTTTTTGAGGGTGTTTTTAATGTGTATGTATCCCGGGGGTTTGGATGAGTATCGTATCTTGGAGGGGTACTGGGTTGTTGATTGGTGGTGATTTCTGAGAAGGTGCAATGCGAGTTTGATGTATGCAGGTGGTTTTGAAAATGGGAAACAGATTTACGAATTGCAACGTCAATATAATATTCACCTCAAAAAGGTACGTTGACAATTTCAATTGTAAAGTCTCTATATATAGCAGAAAGAGGTATAAAGCTACCTATTTCTACCATGCCCACCTATCAATTCCATGCATCCAATGCCCTGCCCAATGCAAACAACCCATTAACGCCCTCATTACGCTAATAGCCATTCCATCCCATTACTATCACTCATTACCCAACACCATCAATCATCATCATCTCTTTTCAAAAGAACCCGGCTCAACCGCCACAACCACCACCAAAGACGTAATCATCAAGCAAAAAGTGACCAGAGCAACCAACACCACACTCCCCCTACTCGCAGGAAACTTCCCCCTGATAATCCAATGCTGCGACTCGAAATACCGATGAAACCCAACCCCTAACATCATGATGCTTATCCCCAGGAATGTAGCGCCCAACGGCTTCCCCATCTGTCGAAGATGTTTATACCCATCGACGCCCGAGCTGCTCGCAGAAGAGGTGGTGTTAAGTCGGAAACTATGGACCGGCGCAGTCAGCATTGCTCTATCCGCATTTGAAGAAAACGAGGAAGTTGGGGGGGGGGG